CCTCTAAACACCTTAGAGGGTCTAGTATAATCTTCAACAAGATTACAATCTGAGTATTCTCACCAACTTCTAGTATTCCTAGTCAACGAATAACCCTTGTTTGAATCTTCTTTTATATAAAGGCTTCTCAAAACACATCCATTAGACATAACTTTGACCTTGATTCTTACGTATTCTCAATCTTGTGTATGAAGCAGTCGTTTTTTAGGTAAGTCAAACTGCCAAAGCATGTTTGCTGTTTCATACTTTGATAGAAGAATAGGTTTGACTATCTTTCTGGCATGCCTGATGGAGAGAATATTCATGAATGTTTCTTTGTCCTAATGTCCAACTTTTGATTTGTATGGATGAAGTAGGTAGATGCATGTACTAGGTAATATGTATTATATAAAGTAGAGTAGAATGCATTGTAGCAGGTTATGTCTTTGCTGTATCACTTTTGTTGTTTTTTAAACAATTGAACATTTATGAATTTAATGTCTTATTCAGAAACAACAAAGTATTTTTACATTTTCCACCATTCAAGTAGGATTTTATCATTTAAGCTTTCATTAAGATAATAAGCATTGATTGAAGACTTCATCGTTGGATGAAGTAAATCGTTTAACTCGTGGTATCGTCTATTGTGTATAAACGCTTTTAGGTTCTGCATTATTCATCAAGTGCATTTAGTGGGTTGTCTTTTATCATAAGTTTTTGGAATATTAATTGAGACTTTCAAAGTGTTTTCCAAAAACATTGTCTAGACACTTTTACCTTCTTAACTAAATTGAGAGTTTGACTAATTACTGTCTGGTACAATATAACTTTTCTGTGTAGCAAAACTCTTATCGACGTTTAAGCTTGGAAATCGTTTAGTGTTGCATCTAGTTTATGCTTAGGTGATTTCTAAGACTTTCCTAAGTTACTTGGTTTCAGAGTATTTTATTTTCACTTATATCTTGGCTATTATGACATCTTAGTGATTTTATTTTTACATGCTCATTTCGTTTAATATTGTTTTGTTAAACTTCAAAACATATGAGAGCGTTTAGACATCTTAGTCTTATAAACAATTTTGTCTTAACATGATAGTAATTCTAAATTGTGCTAACAATGATGGATATAGGAAATTTAAGCAAGAAAGCATGTTTAACCAAGATTTGACTAGAGGACCCAAAGTTTCTTTGCATTGATTTCTAAATCTTGTGTAGTGAAGGAACCTCAAAGGAACATTAATTAACACATGTATTAAGTTGTTTTTGCCTTTAAGAGTGAAAAAAGACAAAATTGTCATGTGTCTACACTACTACAAAGTTGGAGTTTAAATTGGAGTTGTTCAAGAAGCTGTCAAGTTGGAAATTCATATGGAAGATGAATTGTTCAATTGTCAATCATTTGCCAACTAAATGTCACCTACAAAAATTTAGGAGGCTAAGAGAGACTTTTTGAAGAGTTAAGGAACATACATTGATCAATAGCAAGGGGGAAATCAAATTATTAACGTGCTACTTTTTGTCCATTTAAATTAGAAAGTTAGTTAATATAGTTTGGGAAGTGTTAGTTAAGTAGGAAAATTGTAATACAGGTTGAATAAAACTAGTCGAGTAAGTCAATTTAATGTATATAAGCAAATCTAACAAAGATTAAACACTAATGTACTGTAGTGTTACAACATTTTCATGTTGTCAATTCTAGGAGTAACATTTTCCTCTTTATGGAAGCTACTTAAGGCCAATGTCTGCACAATAAGTTTGGTGTCTTTGAGTGTTTCTCTTTTCCACTGTAAATTCTTCATCTAATAATTAAATTTTCAGTTTGATACTTCCAATCATGTTTCTTCTATTTTTCATCGTTGTTTCACTATTTGAAACATTTTTCATCCAAAACTTGGTTACAATTGATTTGGTTTGATGGAATTAATACTTATTTTTGCACTTTAACACTTTGATTAGTATAAAAAATGGCTAAAATCACAAAAGATACATAATTATCTTAAGTAATTCAAATGTCTTTTTTATTAGCAAAATTAAGAATTGATCATATTGAAGTTCAAATCAGTGAAATATGTTTTGGATGAGTTTTGAGTCAATTGTATCTTTGTTTTTGCAATTTTATTCATGTTAATCAGTTCATTTTGTTTTAATCTTGTGATTGATTACGTTTTAAGTCATTTTCACTGAATCATTGCTTATTTTTTGAAGCTCTTCATCGAAATTAAGTTTCATTGGCTAATTGATGGATTGATGTTGGCTTTTACATTACTAAAATTTAGTGTAGAGTATAATGAACTTTAAATGATACACAACTATCTACTTTAATTCAAATGTCTTTTGATTAACAATGACAAGAATCAAGCGAATTGATCCCAACATGAGAAATTTGGTTCATCTCTATTTTCATTGTCTTTATAATATTGTTAGTAACAATTTTTTTGTTATAATCTATTTGAATATTTTCTTTGAAGGCATAAATCAGAAACATGTTCCTCATAGTCACGAGGATGATTAGCTTCAAAAACAAAAATCTATTTAATGACAAAAGTAAGAGGTGGTAACCTTTTTCCATATTTGCACTATTGAACATAAATATATTCAACGATGTTCGGTCCCTTAAAAAACTTTTGAACATATTAATCTTGTAATTTTACAGTTTAGTTGAAATGATAATCAATCAATTTAACTTAATTACACTTTGAATGTGTCTTCCCAATACTTAGCTTCACTCCTTTTTGACCTTAGAATAGATGAATTCATTCAATACCTTTATGTTGGCGTAGAAGGCTCTACCAAATTTATAATAATCATTTGTACAAAATTTTCAAGCCCTTGACCCTCAAGCAACTCATAGGCAACAATGCTTATACGTAATAAGGGATGTGATCTTCCATTTATTTTCTAAGAGCATCTAGACATATTGATAAGGTATCCAATCATTCACTCATTTTTTATTGTTCCTAAAAATTTTCCTTTAAAATTTCTCAGGTTAATTATTTAGGTTATGTGGAGAATCATTCTAACAAAAACTACTTGTAGGCAAAGTATACCGGAAAGGAAAAAAAAAAAGAACATAATTTATGACGACTGTAGATTTGCATAAAGGACTTAGAAGTGGACTTTTAGCCTAACTCAACCCCACAAAACCGGCTTGTAGGGTGAGGTTTACACCCACTTATAAACTATGAATTGGCCTTATCTCTAGTCGATGGGGACTTCCAACACACCCCCTCACGCCGAGGTATATACATCTCGAACGTGGGATTAGGCATTTTTAATGGGTGGTCTGATAGCGGTCTGATAGCGGGTGGAACAATATGAAATATAGCTAGGATAGGCTCGAACCATGACTCTGATACCATGTTAGAAGTGGACTTTAAGCCTACTACCCGACAAAACAGGCTTGTGGGTTGAAGGTTTGCAGCCACTTATAACTATGGAATTAACTATCTCTAGTCGATGTGAGACTTCCAACATATAGATCCAAAGGTTGACAATGGGTAACTGCAAAGCATTTATTAAAGTCATTGCAAATGTTAGAGTTTATGTTTAATGTTCTCTCATAAATTGATTACTAAGAGGTGGAAAAGTCCTTAAATGGTCCAAATACTTGAGTATTGCTAGGTCATAGCTTATTATCTTATACTAAAAACAATGCCCAATAAAAACTAAAATCATATATTAATTATTTACAAAATAATTAATAAGTGATGAATTAGTATAAGTGTGAGACTCATATAAGTGAATATTTTTTTAACATGATTTTTGAAAATGATAGCATAGATAAATAATAAAAATTTATTTCCTAAAGTAATGTATTATTGAATGGTAGAATCATGAAAGAAACAATCAATTATTTTTCAAAGTTTCTTGAGATCCATCCTTGTTGTAATTGATTTGACCATAAATAAATTGAAATTAAAAGTGATCTTCAATATTATTTTGAGTAAAAGTATTATTTTTCATCAAATATTAATTATTTCTAACAATATCCTGCAAAAGAATGACATGTGCATGTTACATTGGCGTAAGTGGAAATAAATATTCTCAAGCTTTTGGTGAAGATAATGACTAGAGTTTTAGGTTTGCATAAAAAGAAAGGATTCAACAGAAGCGACCGACAGCGGATGAATGTCTCGTGCAAAACTTTTCTTGCAATCAAATATATCAAGATTATAGCTTTTTTGGAACAACTACTATTTCTTAGTGTGAGAATATTTGTGTTTTATATAGGATGTGTGGTCAGAATATTACTGTGAGGATATTTGGGTTTAATACTCTATTCACTCAAAATTATCTTTAATTAATGATGAATAATCTGAAACTTGATTGCATCTATATTTCAAATAAATACTATACTTCAAATAAATTTTGATTATCATTGTTTTTTTTTTATTTGATTTAATAGTGACAGCATATTTATTCATACAACACTCGTAACACTCGTAATATAGGCATTGTACGTTTTTAATTCTATTTATAACTATATATAAAAATATACACTTATTTAATGTTTTTTTTAATTACTACTTTTTAAATTTAAATAACTATCATAATAAGTAATTACTTTTTCAAATTTAAATAATGATTCATAATATTATTTATAATATTTTTTATTTCAATAACTAAAATTTATTTTACCTATAATATATATATATATATATATATATATATATTTTTTTTTTTAAATTTAAATAATTTATAAATATTTAAAAATATATAAACACAAAGCAATAACATATGTGTTTAAGCTTAGTATAATATAATAAAATTTAAAAAACTAGTTTTGCTTATCTGTCCTTCATCGTTTACCTGTAGACTAATATAAGTTACATAAAATATACCTTCCTATTAACAATATATTAACAATTTGACACTTTTTGTTAGTCCTTTTATTGTTGCTTACCAGACCATCTCGGACCCCGTTCAACAAAAAAAATGCTTAAATATTATAAAATAATATATTATTTTTCAAAATTTCATGGAATATTTTTCTTTATTTTTTCTTTTTCCTTGGTGGATGATGCCTCGATCTATATCCCTTTGTCGTTTCATACCCCTTCCTTCTTCCATCCTCCTTGGTGTTCCTTTATAACTTCTGCCGAACAGATCGTGTTTCCCGGCGACTATTCTAGAACCTTCATGAATCTTCCCACGGCGACGGCGCTCTCCCTCTTTAGGCCTTACAAAGTCATCTAAAGCAACAATCCCCTCACCATGATGAACTCCGAAGCGAAGAGGAAAGAAGAAACCGGGCAAGTTCAATGCCCTCCAAACCCAAACCCAAACCCAAACCCCAAACCCGAACACAAAAGCCGCCCAGAGAAGAACGAGACGAACTGCTTGGTTCAACACGGGAGGTACAATCGCAACACACTCGCGCCGTTGTAGAATCGGTAACGTGAATACGAGAGAAGAGCAACAACAAGCAACCAGCGCCTCAAGCTTAGGGTTTCGGAAGAAGCAATTAAAGAGAAAGAGATGGATGACGAGGTCGATTAGCCGGCGGTGGCCGGAGCCCCGACAAGGCTGCGCCTGCCGAAGACGAAGGAAGCACTGCTCCCATCCCGAGAGGGATGTTTTTTTATTATATTTTTGTTTTTTGTTTGAAGTGGAATCTTTTATTATTTTTGAAAGAAATTGGCAAAGGTACAGGTAGGTGGTTCTTCCGTGTACAAATGGGCAGAAAGCTTGGGAAGGGAGGGTTTGGACAAGTTTACGTAGGTAGGCGAGTTGGGGCTGGTGCCGGAGCGTTAGAGGTACGTGCAGATAAGTGGTAGTAAGTCCGTGTTTGACTTTGATTATTTGGGTTTTTTATGATTCACAATGTGGTTTGTGGTATAATTGCAGGTAGCTTTGAAGTTTGAACATAGAAGCAGTAAGGGGTGCAATTATGGACCTCCATATGAGTGGCAAGTTTACAAGTGAGTTACCCTTTCTTACACAAACGTTTCAATCAATATTTTATCTACTGTTTGATTTTGTCGCCATCCTTCATACTTGGCAAATTGCGGATAATGTGGCTTATGGGGTCACGTCCAAAAGCAGGTCAAATCGCCCAAAAGCCAAGGCCTTAGTAAATGATGGAATCGCGATTTTTTGCTACGTCAAGGTTTTGGCGGTTGTCTGCAAACTGTAATTGTAGCCATATCAGCTTGCATTTTGTTTGTAACCTCTCATATATCACGAAACACAGTGAAATCACCCTTAAAATTTTGCAGAAAACTTTGACACTGGCTGAAATCGCTGCTACCATTTTCTAAAACCTTATTTCAAAGGTTCCATGTATTGTAATTCACACTCACTTTGTTTTGGTTTTTTTCTTTATAGTGTATTGGGTGGTAGTCATGGTGTTCCACGTGTTCATTACAAGGGACGGCAAGGTGATTACTATGTTATGGTATGTGTGCTAAAATAAAACCTTTGACGGAAGTTTTTCTACTGTGTTCTCTCACTGAATGCTTTTGGAACTTGACGTCGCATTTTGTTGCATTGCAGGTCATGGATATGCTTGGCCCTAGTCTGTGGGATGTCTGGAATAACAACTCAAACACGTAAGTATTTGAGTTTGGAATGTCATGAAAGGGAATGTGTTATTTTGTTAATATTATGGAGAATATTGCGTAGATAACTCCGTTTTATCTTTTTCTGGCTTTAGAATGTCTGCGGAAATGGTGGCATGTATAGCAATTGAGGCCATCTCCATATTAGAGAAGATGCATTCTAAAGGGTCACTTCTCTCTTCCTGTGTCTTTTCTATTCTGTATGATATATATATGAAGTTTCGTAATTAAGATGCACGATCGATTTGAATTTTATTTTTGTATGTTTCCATTGTTTTTTGTTACATCACACCTAGATAAATATTTAATGTTATCTCTAACTTAAATAAAATCGTATCATCAATTTATACAAATTTTAAGCAACTTGTACTGCACAAAAGGTAGTATTTTATATTTTTAAAATATAGGATTTTGGTGGAAGAGAGCGAGCTGGTATGGTTGCCATTTGTGACTGGTTGGTCACTAGTTTGAACCCAGAAACAGTCTTTTGCATATGCATGGGGAACAATAATTCTCCCCTGTACCTTTATGATGTGAGGAGCCTTCCTTCACTAGTACATCAGTAATAGAATTTTTGGGGAAAAGGAGTGAAATGTGAAAAGTGGCCCACTAGTAGGAATTTTATAAGATTTGTATGGCATGGGATGTAATTGATTTGTGGTAGATAGAAACCTCTAGCACACATCAATATGTCTTTATTGTGAATATTGACATCATGTTTCTGTCATTTTTCAGGTATGTGCACGGTGATGTAAAACCTGAGAATTTTTTGCTTGGCACCCCTGGAACTGCTGATGAGAAAAAGCTTTTCCTAGTTGATCTTGGATTAGGTAAATATTCCACCTTATTATTGAAGTTGTGATGCTATCACTCATTGAATATATCTTAATTTCTCATAACACGTCCATACACTCTGCCCTCTTTTATTGTGCAGCAACCCGTTGGCGTGATTGTTCAACTGGCTTTCATGTTGAGTATGATCAACGTCCTGATGTATTTAGGTGAATTATTTGTGTTTCTTTTGCTGAATACTTTCTTAGCAATGTCCAGACTGTTTGATGAGTATAACATATTATTGCCACAGAGGAACAGTTCGTTATGCTAGTGTGCATGCTCATCTGGGTAGAACAGGAAGCAGGAGAGATGATTTGGAATCTCTTGCTTACACATTGATTTTCCTTCTTCGTGGCCGGCTACCTTGGCAAGGATACCAGGTTCTATATGCTTCAAATATAGTCATTTGGTGTTAATAATAATTAAAATTTTCCATTCTAATAAAATTTATTTCCAGGGAGAAAATAAAGGATTTCTTGTGTGCAAGAAAAAGATGGCAACCTCACCAGAAGCTTTGTGTTGTGTCTGTCCTCCACCATTCCGGCAGTTTGTGGAATACGTAGTGAATTTGAAGTTTGATGAAGAACCAAATTATGCGAAGTATATATCACTTTTTGATGGAATTGTTGGACCGAATCCAGATATCAGACCCATAAATACCGAAGGTGCACAAAAGGTATTAAATCCTCTATTGCTTTAATGTATACGGTTTATTATATGTAGATAAGGGTTGACTCTTGTGGATATTTATTTGATTTGTGCTTTGAAGCTTATAAATCTGGTTGGACATAAGAGAGGACGATTAACTGTGGAAGAAGATGATGACGAACAACCAAAGAAGAGAGTGAGAATGGGAATGCCAGCAATGCAATGGATTAGTGTGTACAATGCCCGCCGACCAATGAAGCAAAGGTTTTTTCCTGAATACAAATAAATAAGTAATTTCAGCAATGTAAAAGTTGTCAGATTTCACTGTCTTTATTTTTTGAAACAGGTACCATTACAATGTTGCTGATGTGCGGCTGTCCCAACACATTGAAAAGGGATATGAGGATGGGTTATTTATCAGCAGTGTAGCCTGTTGTTCTAACCTATGGGCACTTATTATGGATGCTGGCACTGGTTTCACTGCTCAAGTTCATGAACTCTCACCCCACTTCCTTCATAAGGTAGGGACATGATTTATTTTAAGATTGTTAGAATTGGTGACATTGTATTTGTTATTAATGTTATGTTGGTGAATTAATATAGGTTTTTCTTTGGTAGGAATGGATTATGGAACAGTGGGAAAATAATTATTACATTAGTGCAATAGCAGGATCTAACAATGGGAGCTCATTGGTTGTAATGTCTAAAGGTAAGTCGTTTTTGGTCTGTTCTTTAGGCATCGAGTATTTTAGTGACAATAGTTTACTTGATTGTTTTGAGGAACTGTTTGCATAAATTAGGGAGTAGTATTGTGTTTGGATTGTTGTCTCATGTCTGTTGATGGTTTGTTTTGTTATTTTCAGGGACCCAATACATGCAGCAATCCTATAAAGTTAGCGAGTCATTCCCATTTAAGTGGATCAATAAAAAATGGAGAGAAGGATTTTCTGTCACTGCTATGGCTACTGCTGGGAGTAGATGGGCAATTGTAATGTCCCGTGGTGCTGGATATTCAGACCAGGTTTTACAGTTATTTTTAAGCATTTTTTGACTAAGTTGTATTAAACAGTATGTGATATGAAATTTTCTCTTTCTAAATTTAATTCCAGGTTGTGGAACTTGATTTCCTGTATCCTAGTGAAGGCATTCATCGCAGGTGGGACAATGGTTACCGCATCACTTCAACTGCTGCCACCTGGGACCAAGCTGCTTTTGTTCTTAGTGTCCCAAGAAGAAAACCGGCTGATGAAACTCAAGAGACACTCCGCACATCTGCCTTTCCTAGTAGTCACGTCAAGGTAAATACTACTGCTTCTGAGTTTACTGAATTTGATCCATTTCTGGTCTGAAATGCTTACATTCGACATATCATTTATGCAGGAAAAATGGTCAAAAAATCTCTATATTGCATCAATATGCCATGGGAGAACAGTTTCATGAACTGAGAAGTTTTGAGACTTCAGCTGACTTTTGACTTTTTGCATCAAAGTTCCAGTTCTTAGATGTGCCATTTTGGAATCTGGAATCATATCTGATGAGTTCGGTGATCAAAGATATTCAGCATTGATGTATGCTAAACCTTTCTTTATGGACGCCATCACTTATCATATGATACCTGTGCTCTGTATATGAACTGTATTAAAATGCTTATGAGCAACGTCAGATTTTGTTCATTGGGATGAGTCTTCTGATAAAAGGATTGTAGAGATTTGAACAGTAATTACTATGTTGAAGGCGTTGTGTGCAGGTTAGGTTTTAGTTTATTGATGGCATTTTGGCCAATGTGCAACTTTGATTTGCCAGTGGGAACTGGACATTTTTAGCTGTGCAGCCTTGTATTTAGACCACTTTTCTTTTTTCCTCTTGACTTTAAGCTACTTCTGGCTCTTGGATGCCTGACTTTGACTTTGACATAAGATGGAAAATGGTGATAACTTTAGCTGCTGCATATGACTCTTTGAATCTTTACAATCACTGTTTATATTTATTTAGTTCTTTTATATATGTCAAATGTATTTAATTTTATATTCAGTTACATACAGCTGGATTCTGCAGAGCACAATGCTTCATTTTCCTCTGTAGCCTGCCCTCCTAGTGTGGTAAAAGGTGTTTGTTGCTCTGCTGTAGTCTGAGTTACTTAACTTTTTTTAAATTTTGTTACGTGTTCATATGATTTAATGTGAACAATATTCAACTAATTGAAACAAAATGATTACTTCAGTTTCAAAATTTGCTAGTGTTATGCTTAACTCAATGTCTTTTTTGTTCTCGATCTTGTATAGTGTGAATACTGATTATTTAAATTTTTAACTGTTGCTATTTTGGAAGATCAAGATGTTGTACATGTATTAATTTTATAGCATATGATTGTTTAAGCGAGAGGGAGCCATGTGAGATGTGACTCACTTTTAGGAGTTGTTGCAATTGATAGCCATCTATTTGTTGCTGATATGGGGTAAGTTTTTTTAATTGTTTCTACCCATCTGCATGGCGGAATACAGTCTTGATTCTGATGAGCAGTTGGCTATCGGGGCAGCTCAGCTGTTGTGATACAGTTAAAGGGTTGTTGTTACAATTATTGACTTTTATATCTCCTGACACTTCTGGAGCATCTGGAGCAGGTATTTGTTTCTGCAGCTACTGTTATCAAATGTCTGATATTTTGTGCTGCTGAAACGTTTGCGTACTTTGATCTAGATAGCCGTTTCTATCGCAACGGTATGTTTGATTTGGCCTGATGGCACGAGACTTCAGTTCCTGGCATTTTGGTGGTAATTATTTTCTTGCAGTTGCATGCGTCGTTACTAGTTAGTTGATTTCCATGTCTTCTCCTTGATAAAAACTGAAGTTCTTTATGTACTTAATTTTCAAGGGATGTAGTAACGTGCAGATTTGTATTTGTTTGTTCATACTGCCACTATGATTCTGGAGAGCCCCACACCCTTAAGAAGTGGTGAAGCAGTTGATGGTACTGAAGCATTTGGAACTATTTCCTGTATGTGATTCTTTCCTTAAATAGTGAACTTTGTAGTAGCAAGCCGTGGGTAGGGCTTTAGATTGAATATGAAGAAAACTCGTTTAGTGATATTTAAAAACCCCCTTTGGGGTTTTTCCAAAAGCTACCGTCTTTTGAATTTCAAATCATATCAGCTATTTTCAATCCCTTGTCAGGTTGAAGATTTTGACTTGTGGGGTCAATGTTTTAATATTTCAGTTCATTTGTTCTCCATGACCACTGATGAAAGTATGATGACGGAGCAGGAGGCAACTTTGGAAGCAAGCAGCTGTGAGATTATGTGGTGATTGAATAGTTACAGAAAGGATCAAATGAATTGACTTGTAGATGAAACGGGCATCGTTGATGAATTAAATTAATTTCTTTGCCGGTGTTCATCCATATTCTTCCTTGATTAATCAAATTAATTTCTTAAAGGCAGGCAATCACCTTTAATCTTCCTACATGGTAATAGGTTAAATGTTACTGCAAATATATATTGAATTGGTTATTTTTGGCGTTGTTTGTCATAGGTTTGACTTTGTTTTTGGTTATATTGGATATCTCTTTTCTAAAATCCCTTTAATATCAATTTTTATTATTTAATTTCTTTTCAACAAATAATTTCAATTTTTTTTCTTTACACCTCTTTTATATATAATATATATATATATATATATATATATATATATATGCATTTATGTATTTGTTGAAATGTTTTCTTTTACATATTTTAATTTTAAAATGTTAAATTAGTTATTCTTCAAAAAAAAATGTTTTATATAATTTAGTTGATTTTTAAAATTTTTATAACAACTTATAATAAGCATAGTAACTTCTATTATAATAATATAATTAAATATAGGCAACATAATAATAAATCTAAAAGGAATTGTATTATTAAAATATTATTCTTTATAAATCACCAAATACAAATTTTCTAATCTGTCAATTTTCTAAAATTTGAAGATAATACTTTTTGTAAATATCAAATTTGTTCTTTATTCTAAATTTTGACGAATTGAAATTTTTTTTATACATTTTCTGATTTAAACTTTTATATATTTTGATTAAATTATAAAAATGAATAGATAATAGTTTAATATAATTATATTAATTTTTTTTTCGTTTTGTGGTAATATTTTAAGTTATTTATATTTTTTTATATGGTTCTGTTTTAGTGTAAAAAATTTGTTTGACACGAATGTATTATAATTTTGAAGAAAGACTAGTTTTAATTTTATCAATTAAAAATATATTTAATTTTAAATTTTAAATTAACTTAAGGATTTAAGAACATATTTAAGTCTAAATAAATAAACTTTGGCCAAAAGTAGTGACTCTACCCTTTATCTCAAATTTTCTTAGCCCTTCCATTTACCTCCCTTTAATGATCAATGCAGAAAATAAGTAAAAAATAAAAAAAAAATGTCAAATTAATTTTGTTCAAAACCTACCTTCATGATAACTGATATCAATACATGTTCTCAAAGAGAATGGAGAGCGAAGATGGAACGACAGCAATGATGTGGTACAATAACAGATGACATTATAGTTTTTTTTTTTCTCTTAGTTTCATGGTGCAACTAATAATAAGGAGGAAGTAGGAAGAGAAAGGCTTTTGAAAACATACTAGGAAGGGAAGATATGTTAGATTAGCAGTCCATTAAAATGTTTGTAGCATATTTATGTACATGTAATGTCTACCATTCTCTCTACTATGAGAATATATTTCGATGATCATGGTAGGCACTCTTTTAACAAAGTTCATCTTTCATCTGATCGTAGTTGGAAAATAGAAAATTGATCTTCCACTTATAACTTCTGTTTTTGATAACATGGAGAAAGGAGCATATCTATTAATAAAATAAGATAAATTATGAAAATGTTTAAAAGTTGTAATGAAAAATACTTGTAAATAGGTATTCCTAGAGTCCATAGATCGTGTAAAGATATAGTACTCGCTTTTGCCTGACCTTTTGGACCATATAGGGGAAGTCGTATTTGCTTATACAACTTTAGTTGCATGTGATTTATTTTATTTTATAATGAAGTCGTGGTTTTTATTTTAAAAATACTATCATAATAATATTATATTTTTACTTTCTATAATTTTAATCAATTCAATTCAATATAATTATTTATATCATAGAATGAATAATTGTAAAATTTCATTAAACAAGACTAAAATAAATACTTTAGTACAATATAGTGTTATATATATATATATATATCTATATATATCATATATATTATATATATATATATATATATATTATATATATTCTTTTAAGATTTTAATTAATTTAATTGAATATATTTATTTATATTAATAGAAAAAATAATTGAAAAACTTATTAGAATAAGATTAAATTAAATACTTTATTATAATATAATATTATATCATTATTACTATAATGATTTTAATTATAACAAAAAAAAATCCTCTAAATGAAATCGTGTGTTAGACATAGCAACTCCACTTAAAAATAATAGAGTTGAATGTGTTTATCTCATTCGAAATTCAATTATAGACAAAAAAAAAAAAAACCATGAAGTCATGCCACCATATGCCAAATTCATTGGAAAAAAAAATTAACTTGAATCGTGCTAGCTCAAATGACGTCATTATAGGACAAAATTGATTTCACGTCTCGAAAAGTCGTACTAAATGGGACGATTTTACACTTATTCACCCATCCTGTAATATTTAAAAAATCTTCCCACATTGCATAAATACGAAAGCAAATTGCACCCCTTTGGTAAATAACCTCCAGTTAACTTTAAGTTAGGAATTAAAAATTGCTAAGGTAGACGAGCCCCTCTAAGCTAATGTAGATTTGATGGTAGCAAAAGAATCTTTCTACTAGACAAGGAAGTCTTTGGTTAGAAGCGAAATAATGCTAAACCACTAAGAAAGAAAGTCTAATTAATATAATCAGTTAAATTAACCAATGCATATGTTTTACAAATGAAAGTATATACATGTGTTTTCATATGCTTAATTGTTGATATTTAAGTGTTATAGGTATTAGTGTAAGCTAGAAGTCTAGTATATGCAAGGTAAATGCATTAGATGACTTTAGACTATCTAAGTCACTAGATGACATAAAGTGTTAGACGACTCAAGGTGTTAGATGACTCAATGGGTTAGACATCCAAGACAGCTTAAGTCATTAGATGACTAAGGCATTAGATGACTCAAACAATATAAATTAATTTTACAACAAATGAGTCAGAACATATTTTAAAAATTGCAAAGTGTTTTTTATTCTCTATTCTCTAATTGATCATATGAATTAATATATTAATATAAGTATTTGAAATAAAGAATTAATTACAAGAGTTACAACTTTCAAGAGAAGAAAGTTTTCAAAATAATCAAATGTTAAAATTTATGAACATTAGGAAACAAATTATTTGATTGATTGAGAAGTATTATTGTTGTAACAATTTAAAATGCAAAATCATGTTGCACAAAGTTTCCTTAACATGACAAATGTGAACGTTGAAGAAATAATAGAATTCAAAATCAAGCTCATGCTCATTCAAGTAAGGAAAGAAGAAATCTCAAAAAGCATAAGCAGATTTAGAAATGAAGTCTTGAAGAATGACATTGAAGATAACATCTAAAGATTCAAATTAAAGAATTGATTAAGTCATTCCTTATCAAGGAAAAACACAGATCATGATGAAGAACTACAATTCAAAGTCTCAATGACTATCAAATGCAACAACTATGTATAGGATGCAATACCATATACGAGAAAAAAAAAAGAATGAAACGAAAAAATGATAAAGATCAAAGTGTTGTGAAATTGACGAGGTTGATGTTAAACTTGAGGAGCCCTAACAATCAATAAGATTTTGATGATAATAAAACACTCTACCAGACAAGTAAGTCTTTGGTCAAAAGTGGATATGTGATTGGATGACTATAAGAGAAAGTTTAATGGAAATAATGAGAATGAGAAATTGATCAACGTGGTTTGAAGATCAAAATATATGATATAAAGCATTGCTTGCTTGTGCTTAATTGATTTATACTCATACATTTTGTGTGTCAACGAAAGCAACAAGATTGGTTAATTAAAATACTGAATCTTAGCATTAGGCGCGCCTAAGGATTAGACAAATCAAGGTGTTAAATGAGTCTAATAGTAAGGTGAAAGCATTAAAAGACCAAGGGTTAGAAGACCCAAGGAAATTCAAGTCATCAAACAACCAAGTGTTAGATAATTTAAGACTACTTAAGTCATTAAACGACCTAAGTGTTAGACGACTCTTAATGTTGAATTATCTACGATGCACTTTGATGGTTTGAAACATGTTTTTATCTCTAATTATTCATGAAAATTAACATTTTAATATAAAATGTTTGAAACAAATATTAAATGATGAGTATTACAACAAATATTATCACTCTGGAAAAATAAAGTTTTTGAATCGAACGTTTGCATGAAATTAATATTGAGAAATATGATGAATGAACTATTTGATTGAATGAAAGATATTATTGCTTTAGTGATTCAATTGCATAATCAAGTTCCACAAAGTTTCCTTAATAAGAAAATTTGTGAATGAGTCGAAGAGAGAAATATTCAAAAGCAAGTCCGAGCTCAATCATAAAAGAAAAGAAGATATAATGAAAAGCATAAGCTGATTTAGAATTGAGGTCTTAAAGGATGAAATTGAAGATTCAAACTAAAGAAACAAATTAAAATATTGATCAAATAATTATACATCAAGAAGATTACTATGAAGAGTTGCAATTCAAAGTCTCAACGACTAGCTATAGCAACATCTATATAATGAATGTTGAGCCATACGAGAAGAAAAAGAGAAAAGAAAAAAAAATAAAGTGTTGTGAAAAAATCATATAAATAGTATCTTAGAGAAACTGGGTTGAGGGCTTGAATATTGTAATATCCTTTATTGAGTGAAGTTGTAACTTGTGAGCTTTGTGGTACACTCCTATTGAGATAGTGACATTCATTATTATAATTGAGTGTTCTTAATCTTAAGAGAGGATTGAGAAGGGTACCTGAAGAGGTTGATATTCGGTGTAGCTTGGAGAGTTTGAAACTCTTGTAACCTAGAGATGGTGA